GGGATAACCCCGCCAAAGCTTCGGGTAATTTTTGGTTTTATTCTTATCAGCGCAGCAATCTTTATTTGCTAAACCGCCTGTTATTGGAACATCTGTTGAGATGACTTTTTCTCTCAGAAGAAACATACGTGTGTGATCTATTTCAGTTTGGTAGATAATTATTAACCGGAACAAACGAAAGAACACTAGGCTAAAAGCACTTGGAATTGACTATTTCGGCCAAACGCCAATGAAGAAGCTGCTTTTTTTCCTCTTTGAAGGTACGCAAAATCTGCCAAAACATCAAAACATGAGAATGTTGAAAAAAAGTAAACACGGAATATTGCAATTCAAATAAATGTTGGCAAACGATAATTAAAGCTAAGAGGCGTAGTAAATTCAAGCCAACTGGGGCGTAGAATAGATTAAATTGATAAGAAAACACCGACTATGATCGATTAAAATATTTTGAAAAGGACAAAACGGTAATTTCAAGAGGATAATTAAAGCGGCATTAGTAAAATGATAAATTTTAGAATATGGAAGAGCCAAGAAGAAAGTATAAGTTGGGAGTGTAAATGAGGAACACATCTTTGCACACGAGTTGCTGCTAAACTGTTCTCTTCATTAGATTAGTATTTATCGGTGACATTGTGTAATAAACAACTTGTATAACTAGACACCTGCGAAACCAACCGAAATGCTGAGGCGCTTGTGGTGCGGGGGAGGAAGGGGGGGGGGGGGTTATCGTCCGTGCCAACAAATTTTTGTAAAAACGTCTCCTCCGGGGAAAAAAACGGTTTTTGGGCCTTGGCCCAATGAAGAGTAACCAGGTCCTGATGCCGATAAATTTTTTTTGAAAACGTCCTTGAAAAAGTCTCCTCCCGGGGGAAAAAAAAAGTTTTTTGACTTGGCCGCGCGGAAATTGGGCCGAGGGGGCGAAGACCTGACACGTCAATGGACAGTTACCAGGGCTAACTCCTGCTGCCAATGAATTATTTTAAAAACGTCGCTTAAGGGGTGCCCCTCTCGTGGAAAAAACTAAGCCGAGGGGGACTAGATCCTAAATTATTAATCAACGATGACAATATGCAACTGCTGGTGCAGAAATTTTTTTTCTAGAAACGTCGTTTAAGGGGTCTTCTATCGGTGAAAAAAACGGTTTTTGGGTCTTGGCCGCGCGGAAATCGTGCCGGGGAGGCAAAGACCCTGATATATCAATGAAAGGTGACCAGACCTTACTTGTCATGCCAATGCTATTTGTTAACACGCATTTCTTTCGCTCTTGGTGCTGTAACTTTTTGAATGTTACTACACTTCATTTTCCAAATCAAAAACGTCAACAGATACCTTGCTCTAAATCTTGTACAACCAAGAAATTAATACGAATTTAAAATATCTACAACATAAGCTAACATGATGCAAGTGGTTGGTTCTCTTCATGAGAAAAAGTTACATGATTCAATTAAAAATGGTTCATTTTTCACTTCATATAAGCTGCACGTTCTGGTCCTCCTCTCGCCATAAATCAAAACCCCGTATGCAGAAAAGCCTGACAAAATGCTTTCCTGGAAGGTCAGCTGCACGCTGGGAATTTCACGTTTCTCGGTGCAGTCATAGACATGCAGGAATGCATGTCGCTATGTTGCGCCAGTAAACGTTGTCAACTGGCATATATGGATAATGCCAAGTGTTAGGGCGTCAAGTGCTACAGCGAAGAATTGTGCAAGATAACAACTGGTATCTTAACGAATGAAGCTAAGATATCTCTTATGGTCAGAAACGATATAAATATAAAAGGTAAGAATTTCATTGGTTATTGAAAAAGTAAAATAAAAATAAAAAAATTAAATAAAATTAGGTACCGGTCATTGTTTATCGCGGAAGGAGGGGGAGGGCTGGGTTAAGGGTGGAGGGTGGTTGTCAGATACCTTTGGAGTTGAAAGTTGACAATCTCTCCACGCGCGCGGAATGTTTTCAAAATTGCTGATCGTAGTGGGTTTCTTGTCTGATAAGTCACCTGATCCAGCTGATGGATTACCAATCGTTCAGAAAATTAGACATGCAGTACTGGTAGAATATTGTGGTGCAATGATGTCATTTAATTGAGATTAAAAAAAAGATAAAGGAGAAAAAAAAAACACAATAAACTAGGCTATTTGGATTAAATTTATTTACAGGATTGATTTTTACAGAACAATATTTCTCTGACGAACTGTTCAACAAATGACTGTCTCAAATTACGCTTCGCTAATACAATCATTCGCACATCAATTATAACAAGTAAATCAGGTGAAATTATTTCACCTGTGTTATATGTTACGACCATGTTTGTCACCATCACCCAGATGTTCGCATCGACGTTCGGTTTCAGCTCGGACGACTTTCGGTTTCCATATTGTTGCTTGGATCGTCCCACTGTCTACGTGAAACTACAGTACACAGCGGAGCTAACAATTGAGTGTTATAAAACCAAAACCACGGTTAACTCTATAGCCAATCAAATCGAAGGTAAATTGCTTTAAGAATCAATGGGTGTTCAATGTAAAAAACATGAAAATTGCCATAAGCGCGGGAAATCGCCTCAGCGTGTCGAGGGCAAATTTTTTCGGTTTTGCAACGGACAGGATTGTACGAGGTTTCTGGACCAGTCAGAGAACTAGGTCATACCGAAAAAGTTCCGGATTACTTTTGACACTCAATATTAAACAATGTTCTCCCAACAATTTAAAATCAATCTGAACTACTGTTGATGCGTCTGTGAAATATCTCGATTTCTGAAGAACACCTGTCCATGCCCTTTTAAATCAATATTCGCTCGGGTACTTGGGTTAATTCAATTAAACTAAGACAGAAGTAAAGCAATTTCCAATTGAGTATCGAGAGAACTCCAAAAGTATTTTGGCTTTGCTTTACTTTCGTTATGTGATTGGCTCAAAAAAAAAAATAGTGCAACTTTCTCAACTAATAAGATGCAAAACTAAAACAATCGCAACAATTTTTTCTCGTGCTTCAAGCGGTTTGATTCTTTTCACTTTCAGTTCTCGTGATTATTGGCTAATGATAATGTAAAACTTCGCACGTTCTGATTGGCCATTGAATTTCCTTGGTTTCGGTTTTTTAACACTGAATTTTAAACTGCTCCAATAACAGTAATTGCAGTCAATTTACTCAATAAATCATGTCTTCTACAAAGTCTTAATTACTTTACTTCCGATTTATCTTCCTTACATACTTATATTCCATGTAGGTATGTACAATCAACAATATTTTGGCTTAATATAAGAAATTTGGCAAATCTAGATTGGGAAAAACGCATAGAATAGTCACTGACCAAACAGTTTACAGTCCGTCAACAGCGAAAAAAAATTAATTTACCATTCAATGTGTTCCTTTGACTGATATATGAAAAAAGGGAAACATATTTGGCTACAGTTAGCCTCGATGACGGCATCTTCCAGGGTGAGAATCCTAATAGTTTCTTCTTTTCAGCTAAATCACGGCTTTAGAATCATTCAACTAAATTGTGGCATTAAAGTTCGGTAAAATTCAATTCTATTTACATAACTGTGGTACTCTGCCGCACAATTTTCCTGTGAAAGCCGGCTTGAATCAATGTTGTTATGTAATACTTTGGGCATTACATAATGGTTTTTTTCCATAGTTTTTGTGAATCCACAAAACTTTCAATTTCTCACTCTCATAAAACTGAAAGAAAATTAAAAGAATTGGCTCGAAGTAAAGTTGTTGCGAGCCAGTTTTGTTACATAATGTTATATATATACACAGTCATCGTGCTCATTTACAAGGAGAAGTGAAAATTTTGGCACTAGAGTTGAACAGCTGTTAAGATTTCCTTTTTCGTCAAGGAATTCTTTCGTCTACAATTTTGATTTATGAATAATTTTTGAAAGTGCAAGCCTCTTGTTGACGCGCACTGAAATAAATTAACTAAATTGTGGCATTAAAGTTCGGTTAAATTCAATTCTACCTACATTACTGTGGTACTTTGCCGCATCATATTCCTGTGAGAGCCGGCTTGAATCAATGTTGTTATGTAATACTTTGCGCATTACGTAATGACATTTGTCCATAGTTGTTGTGAATCCACAAAACTTTGAATTTCTCATGTTCATAAGACTGAAAGAAATTTTTTTTCTTACTTGCCAGCCCATGAAAAGACCTAAAAGAATCGGCTCAAAATAAAAGTTATTGCGAGCCAGTTTTGTTTCATAGGGTCATGTATATATACACAGTTTATGGCCCTCATTTACAAGGAGAAGCGAAAATTTTGGCACTAGAGTTGAACAGCTGTTGAGATTTCATTTGTCATAAAGGAATTCTTTCGTCTACAATTTTGAATTATGAGAAATTTTTGAAAGTGCAAACTTCTTGTAGATTTGTTTAGCATGTGCCTCCACGTCAGCCTTTTTTTTACAAAACAAAGTAAATCGCATCGCATTATTTGATTCGTGAACTTTTGCCTTGGAGTTTTTGTTCAACATTGACGCGCACTGAAATGAATGTCTTTTTCAACTACATTGAATTATGATTACTGACCAAAACAGTAAACACGTAATATGCAGAGAAAGAAATGCGACAATAAATATCTTGTCGCGCTCATTATTAATTTTGTAACGAATAAATAACGAACGATTCTGACAGATGAACTGAAATGGAGAAAGTTGTAGGTATTGAGGCTTGAAAAGAATTGTGATTCGACAGAGTTCGAACCCATGCCTCTCAGATACCAGTTAGACGCGACTACCAACTGAGCTACGAACTCTACTGAAACCGATAGTGGAATAAAAAGTCTCTTATGTAAAGAGATCTGACCCATTAATTTCTCAAAATCCGACCTTGAGAGAAAAGCAGGTGAAAGTCGACTTTTTTCATTTATAGCATACACAAATTTTGATCTGCGTAATTTCAGATTGGCCGGACGGTTTTTCTTCACGAGAAGAAGAAGCCTCAACGATAAAGAGATGACCACTGTCTAGTCCAAGTGAGTAGAAGGTTCTTCAATCATGCTGCTCAGCTACCGTTCCAACTGGGTTACCTCGACAGGCAATTCTCGCAGCAACGGGCGGGTGGATGGGTTGAGGTTTCCTGAGTGGTAGTATCTCTAGAACAGCATTCCTAAAACGGCGGTCTCGATACCAGTAAATTAAGGGAGTCAGCAAGGAATTCAATTGCACTAGCGTCTCTGTCAGACGGAAAGCTGAGTTCGACTGTAGTGGGGCCGGGAATATTTCTGAAAAAATGGAGATCAACAGTTTTGGAAGGAAGGATGAAAAGATAGCAAGCGTGAGCAGTCCACATATCTTGGCCGTCTTCGATTCCATTTTCTGGTTTGCAGTGAGTGGTACAATCTGGTTTTTCTTACGCTTTCGTACTCCAAGATACACCAAGATGTTATAGCAGGCAATGATTATCACACAAATTACCATCAAAGTACATTCGATGGTCATCCACATGTCGATGATCTCCACATCTTCTTCCGTTATTGTCAGAATAGTAGCGGGAAGGTCTGAAAACACGGCTACCAGCCAAGCAAATATCGAGAGTTTTACGAGAAGGCTCTTTGAAACGAGTACCTGATATTGAAGACCTTTCCGTATCGCTACGTTTCTCTCCCATGCAATGACGGTCAAATGATACAGAGACAATATGGAAAGGAAATAAAGAACAGTGATATTAGCCAAGTCTAAATCACAAATATATTCGACAGGCATCTGGCGGAGAATTAACACGTCCACCGTCGCAGATAACGGCATCGATACAGCGCCAACGAGAAGATCTACAAGGGCGAGGCTCCTGAGAAGAATATTGGACAACTTTTGCAGGTCTCTCCGTTTTGCAACCGTTACGATTACTAACAGATTCATAAGAATTGTAATGGGAGAGAGAAGTATTATGCTTCCCACAATGATCCAAGGGAAGGTAGTATTTTCTAAGTCCCAAGTAAAAAACTCATATTGCGAGCAAAAGAACACTGACCTATCAGTGGAGAAATTGTTTTTTGCTGTTTCTACAATGTCTGGTTCCATTTTGAGGCTTGTTTGTTGACTTTTACGCTTATCAGGTCTTCGATGATCGATCAGTGATAAGTTCCCGAGAAATCACAGCAAGCCAAGGGAAGATCGTCATCAATACGGCAATCTTTTGGTCACCTACGCTTGTTTCTTAAGCCACATGAAGATAGATATGTGAAGTGCCATGATTACAAGTAATAAACACCATCGTTCTTGAGTTGGGTGCTGTCAGTTTATAGAAACAGCCGGATAGTGGACTGATAAAAAAAATTCAGTGGTGAATAAAAGGGGTAAGTTTACCGTTGATACTTAACAACTATTTACTGTAAAGGAGGTGGCTAGTGGTGAATAATAAAGGATATTGAGAGTTTGAGTAGCCAATAAGAGCGCGCGTTCACCGCTGTCCATTGTTTTATTTTATACCAAATTTTTTTTGGCTTCTCTTGTCCACCCTAATAACTCTTTCTGCCGGTTTTTTGCATTTTAATTTCAAATATAAGATGAAAGTGATGAACTTATTGCATTATACAGAAAACACTTTAGATACAAAACAGATGGAAGATATTTTTGCGCACTACAAAAGAACAATACATGCATTATTTTATGTCGCGAGGATTTGCACGGAATTCAACAGAAATGGGATTTTGGCGATGGGTTCTCTGTCGTTTTCACCATTTTAGGCGCTTCCTATTTTAATTTTACGCTTGCAATGTCTTTAAATGATGATCGATTAGTTACAAACCCCTGAAGATATTAGATCAAGCCTCATAAGGATTCTATTAAATACGGCAATCTTGGCTCACCTGTACAGGTTTCTTTTACCGCCTGTGTCGGCCCATCTGTGGGGACGACTTTTTTCACACGAAAGATACGTATGTGCAGTGCAAAGATCTCAAAACCGTTAATGATCCCGTTAAACTCATCATTCATTAAAGCTATCAACTGACAAACTTTAAGAAAGAACAATACATGTATTATTTTATGTCGCGAGGGTTTGCACGGAATTCAACGGAAATTAGATTTTGGCGATAGGTTCTCTGCCGTTTTCACTAATTTAGGCGTATACTTGTTCAATTTTACGCTTGTAGTGTCTTTGCGTGATGATCGAGTAGTGAAAAAGCCCTGAATATATCAGAGCAAGCCTCGTAAAGATTCTCTAAAATGCGGCAATCTTGGGTTACCTGTGCAGGTTCCTGTATTGCCCCATCTGTGGGGACGACTTTTTTCATACGAAAGACACGTGCTGTGCAAAGACTTTAAAACTGCTAATGATCCCGTTGAACTCAACAGTAATTAAAGCTACCAATTGACAAACTCTACGAAAGAACAAAAAACGCATTATTTTATGTCGCGAGGGTTTGCACGGAATTCAACGGAAATCAGATTTTGGCGATGGGTTCTCTGTCGTTTTCACCAATTAAGGCGTGCGCTAGTTTAATTTTACGCTTGTAGTGTTAAATGTCTTTGGGTGATGATCGATTAGTGAAAAGGCCTTGAAGATATCAGAGCAAGCCTCTTAAGGATTCTCTAAAATGCGGCAATCTTGAGTCACCTATGCAGGTTTCGGTTTTTTAGTTGATCCTTTCCTTACGCGCGTCTACTAGTCTCCTCCAAGGTGCTACGATATCATAACATGCATGTTTAATTTCAGTAAAATTTTACTCTTTTTTTTTCTGGTTCTTTATTCTTTAATTTAGCATTCAACGTAAGCTGTATTAAAAATGAGCTGTTTGAATGTATATCTTAGCCATTCCACTCTTTTTTTAAACGGGATCATTTGCGGTCCTCTGTTGGGATCATTTACGGTCAGAAAAAAAAAAAAATCTAGGCACTCTCTTGATAGCATGTTGTTTTGAATGCGAGTCGAACACAAAATGAGGCTCTTTGTAATTGAAATTCTCTTCACATCCGAACCTCTATTCAAATAAAAGAAAAATGTATGCATGAATGCAGTTATTCACCGAATATACAGAAAACGCTAGAATCAAAATGTCTAGAATTGACTAATCATGAAATCACACAAGGAAAATATATGCTTTTCACAGCGAGTTTTCCATAGAGTTTAACATCAGATTTTGTTGATAGTTTGTCCATCTTTTAGTTCCATAAGAATGCTTGTATGTATCTATGGTGACTGATTAGGGATAATCCCGCGAAAGCTTCGGGTAATTTTTGGTTATATTCTCATCAACGCAGCAATCTTTATTTGCTTAACTGTCTGTTATTGGAACATCTGTTGAGATGACTTTTTCTCTCACTGAAGAAGAAACATACGTGTGTGATTTATTTCAGTTTGGTAGATTATTATTTACCGGAACAAACGAAAGAACACTAGGCTAAAAGCACTTGGAATTGACTATTTCGGCCAAACACCTATGAAGAAGCTGCTCTTTTTTCCCTTTCATGATACGCAAAATCTGCCAAAAAATGAGAATGTTGAAAAAGAGGAAACATGGAATAATTCAGTTCAAATAAATGTGGGCAAACGATAATTAAAGCTAAGCGGCGTAGAAAATTCAAGTCAATTGGGGCGTAGAATAGATCAAATTAATAAAAAAACGCTTTGAATATGATCGATTAAAACATTTTGAAAAGGACAAACGGTAATTTCAAGAGGATAATTAAAGCGGCATTAGTAAAATAGTCAATTTTGGAATATCGAGGAGCCAAGAAAGTAAATTAGTTGGGAGTGTAAATGAGGAACACATCTTTGCACGCGAACTGCTGCTAAATTGTTCTCCTCGTTAAATTAGTATTTATCGGTGACATTGTGTAATAAACAGCTTACATAACTAGATACCCAAGGAAACCTATCGAAAAGCTGAGGCGATTGTGGTACGGGGAGGGGTGGGGGGAGGGTCGTCCGTGCCAACAAAATTTTGTAAAAACGTCCTTTAAAGGGTCTCCTCCCAGGGAAAAAACGATTTTAGGGCCCTCGGCACGCGGAAATTGGGCCGAGGGGGCAAACAACCTCAAATTTCAATCAAAAGTGACCAGGCCTAACTCCTGGTGCTGACAAATTTTAGTAAAAACATTGTTTGAAAGGTCTCCTCCGGGGGAAAAAAGCGTATTTTTTGGCCCTGACCGCGCGGAAATTGGACCGAGGGGGCAAAGACCCTGATATGTGAATGAAGAGTGACCAGGCCTAACTCCTGATGCCAATAATTTTTTTTAAAAACGTCCTTTAAAGGGTCTCCCGGTGAAAAAAACGGTTTTCTAGCGTTGGCCGTGCGGAGTTCGCTTCATTGAAAGAAACTAAAGTTCAAAATGAACTTGGGCTAAAATTCAAGAAACCAAATTATATCTAAATATAGTTTTTTTTTTTAAATATTCAATTCAGGACACCATAACCGATTAGTGCCAAACATTATCTAGTCTGCGTCTTCCAGAGCCTTTGGTCAACTTTGTGGCCGAGCAATCTTTGACTGTGAAAAGCAATTTGTTAATACGACAAAGACAAAATAAGAAAAAAACAGTATCACAGAGGCTCTCGCATTTCTTGCGCTCTTGGTGCTGTAACTTTTTAAATGTAACTACACTTCATTTTCCATATCAAAAACGTTATCAGATACCTAGCTCTAAATCTTGCACAACCAAGAAATTAATAGGAATTTCTACAACATAAGCTAACATGATGCAAGTGGTTGGTTCTCTTCATGAGAAAAAATTACACGATTCAAGTAAAACTGGTTCATTTTCTCTCTTCATATAAGCTACACGTTCTGGTCCTCCTCTCCCCATAAATCAAAACCCCGTATGTAGAAAAGCCCAGCTTCTGCACATCGACGTGGTACAAAATGCTACCCTGGAAGGTCAGCTGCATGCGGGGAATTTCACGTTTCTCGGTGCCGTCAAAGACATGGAGGAATGCATGTCGTTATGTTGCGCCAGTAAACGTTGTCACCTGGCATATATGGAAATACCATAATAATTTCCGCTCTTTGTTAAAGCCTTTTTTATCGGTAAAACACATCTCCACGCTATTCGCCATTATATGACTTTTAAACATCAGATCTAGAATACCCAAACAGACGAAACGGGGAAACAAACCTCCGTTTTGGAGATTATTTTTTTAAAAATCGATAGGCATCCTTCTGCTGGAAAGGTGAAAACGAAACAATAAGAAAAGATAAAATGCAAGCTATTAAAGTTAGTAAATGTTAGAACGTGGACCGCGAAGCAAGGTAATAAGTCGCGTGATCATTTTAGTACCCTTTAAGGTCAGGATTGGTCATCATGTGAAAAGTTTTTGCTATGTTCTTTACAACAGGTTTACTGACTAATAGATAGAAGACACTGAAGAAAAACTTCAAATCCAGAGGAACAAGTAGACGTTATTTAGTAAAAAAGTCAAGGCCTCCTAAAGAGCCGACACCGTCATGTTGTTATAATTCATGACGGCAACAATATTATCAAGAAAATTAGTAATAATATACTGACGAGGTCTGATATTTCGATATGATACGAGAAGATTTCTTGACCAGTGAAATGAATGAAGAGTAGTTCAGCTACCTGCTAAACAGTCTTTGAAAAATTAATTTGAAATCAAGAAATACTTTCAAATGTGTGAGACGCGATCAATTCCTTAATCAAGGATTGAGGAAAATGGTGCATGAATATCTTTCAAATTTGACAGTTTTGATACTGATTTTAGTGCAATGAGCGAGGGAAACACGAGCCATAGACCTTTGCTGCCAACTGAGTTTGTTTCTTCCAATCGACGAAGCAATTAAGGCTATATAATACAGCTAACCAATATTTTAAATATATGTAAATATCTGAAGAGATCGTCATTAACTTCGATCGAAATATTTATAAGAGGGGACCAATCTCTATAGGGCAAGCTTAAAGTTGACAATCTCTCCACGCGCAGAATGTTTTCAACATTGCTGATCGTAGCAGGTCTCTTGTTTGATAAGTCACCTAATCCAGCTGATGGAATGCCAATCGTTCAGTCAATCAGACACTTAACAGAAAATCAGACAGGACAGGTAGAAAATTATGGTGCAATAATG